CTCTCTCTCTCTCTCTCTCTCTCTCTCTCTCTCTCTCTCTCTCTCTCTCTCTCTCTCTCTCTCTCTCTCTCTCTCTCTCTCTCTCTTGTTTGCACACAGGTTAGTGTGGTTGATGGATTGGCCAGTTGAGCGAGCGGACTGTTGGTTGATAAACCAGGGAGTCACGGCGTGCTGATGCCAATCAGGTCGGGTTGATGTGTTCATTGCCATGACAATTGCACATTACGGATGCAAGTGCATGAGGATGAACTTTCAGCATTTTGTTGATGGGACCTTTACGATCGATCAGGTTGTTAGTATGACAGAGTGGAGGAATCCACGTTCCTTTTGTTATGAGAGGCGAATGTGTTGGATTTTGCATGTGTAAGCGTTCAAGTGTGTAGGTTGTGATGACGCTTGATTGACTATATATGGTTTCTTTTTATCTTGGTCCGAGTGATCAAATGTCCCTTGTTGGTGGAATGCATGTGTGTCAAAGAACCAGTCAAGTGTGTGCAGTGTGTCCATCTTTTTCTGTTTATGTGACATGCGTAGCAAAATGATTTGAGTTTGCATAACAGTTTTGCTTATCTGTTATTTTTCCCATGTACACCAGTGGAATTTGATTGTGCTTGCTTGCCCTTTCCATATAACGAGCAAAAGCCCCAGGTGTGTGAATGGGACGTTGGAGAAGCATCAGAGCTAGTAAGCCATAAGATTCTCCTGGTGATGCCTGGGATTCATGTTTGTCGAGAATGTCTTTCCCCCGCGTTCTATATTGTTTTCCCACATAACAGCCCACCTTTGCGCCATTCTTGTAGCAGACGTGATGCTACAAGTGTAGATGTGATGACCAGTGTCCCTGATGACTCGTCAGTGACACTGATCATCACATCTACACTCGTAGCATCACGTCTGCTACGAGAATGGCACACCACCCTCTGCAGGCACAGGGCGTGGACGTGGCATACCCAACCCATCGGCCCCTGAGGACTCCCCGAGTGTCGCACCACCCTCTGCAGGCACAGGGCGTGGACGCAGCTTTGCAGACCACCGTGGAGTCTGCTCGTGCACGGGTTGAGCTGCCAGTCAGAAAGCCTGCTGCAAACTCGTGCCGCGTGCACGGCCCGGCTCTGTCCTCGGCTCTGGTCCCGTGTCGGCGTTATCCTGTTGCTCCTCACATTCGGCAGCTGTAACCTCCCTCAACCCACTCCTCTGCGATCCACTAGTGCCCAACCCTGGCTGCCGGCGAGCGGTGTGGTCGGTCACCCTCCTCTGCTCGTCGAGGTCGATGCCAGTCCAGCCGTACAAACACTGGCTGGGACTAATCCCTGTCGTGTCCCGCTGTCTCAACCTGCTCGACCCTGATGATTTCGCTGGCGACTGTGACACGCGACCTCACTGCGCGAAAGCATCGCCTCTGTCTTGCACTATCTGGGGGAGGTGGCATATCAATCGTGTCACCTCGTGCCCTCTTGTGGCTCTGTCGCTAAGTACGCTATGAGCTCCACCTGTGGATGCTGATCGCAAAGGAGTGGGCGACACTGGTGACGCGGGGCCCCATGGAACTGATGGAATTTGCTGCCAGGGAACATGCAAAGGTTGTGCTCGGCAGGTCCTTACAATACATGGTTGTCCAGTCCAATGACATCGTGCACGTCGGATGCTGCAAGCTCGTCAACAACGAAAGGATGGTCAGTCGCCTGCGGAGCCAAAGGAACATGCACCGCCATGCCCGATCCTAAATAGCAAGGGGCTGCACAGTGGGCATCCCCACGTCTCATGAGTCCCCAGGCAACGTGGAGGGTCGAGGGTTTAGAGAGAGCGACCTCGCCGCGACAACCATAGCCAACCTTGAAAAACGGACGATGTGGCGTTTGTGGGTCCTCCTCCCTGGTGGGTGTAGGCGCATCACATGGTCGATCCTCTGCCATGCCTGTGCCGCCACCCTCCGCCTCGTGTCCCGCCACGCTCAATGTAATCTCATCCTCTCCATCGCATCCTACCATAACTGAAGGATTGGATCCAATCTCCTTGCGTCGCTGCTCGTCCATCTGCCGCTCTATCTCCCGTGTCCTCGAGTCGTCCATCGCCATACTCTGGGCAACCTCTCATGCAGCACTATCAAGTCGACTCGTAGGAGACTCCACGACTACCCACCCACCGTCCGTCCTTGCTGCCGGAACATCCACGGTGTCATGCGCTACAACGTTTGTCGAAGGCGGCACACTAACATGATGCTCGACTCCTGCAGATGTACCCAAGTCAGAGGGAGTCTCGAACTCGGAATCACCCTCCCCCTGGATGGACTCAGATGCCCCTATCTCTCTGACGACAGCAGGTGTAATGCCCTCTATGAAGGGCTCAACCATGTCGTGAAGTCAGTCCTGCGCATGTGAAGGCATGCTCCCCTCCGGGCCACCAGTGGGGGGATCCTCTCCAACGACGTCATCGCCACTGACGTCCATACTCCCATGTCCTCGCGCGTCCCTGCTCTGCTCCAATATCCCTGGTGATGGCAAGTCTAACCTCAGGTGACGAGAAACTCCGCGCGCCCTGGTCAAAGGCCGCTTCTCGACGTTCTCCTCCTCGTTTGACTCCGAAGATGTGGGTGCAGGCGGGAGTGGACCGTCTAACGCAGCCTGAGAAGGGGGCACACCTCTCGCCATAAGTGTGTTGCAAGCTCAGGTGTGGCAGTGGGTGCGCTGCATTGCCCGACAGGTGAATGAGGTCGTGACGACAAATCGGCCAGCGACGTTAAAGGGTCTACAGATGGCGAAGGCACGAGAGAGGGCGAAGGGGCCGGAGGAGATGTAGGGGGCATAGATGTCCCTGCATACGATCTGCCTCCTTGTCGAGAAGTGCCTGTTGAAGTACTGCCAGGTCCGTGGGACATGGAACCGACCTGATCATACTCGCCCTGTAAATCCTTAGCCCCCATCGGGAAGCGCTCACTGGTCGTCCGGGTATCCCTCTGTCCCACGTCAACATCAATGTCACGCGAGTGTGTCTCATCTATCTCCCTAAGGATGCATAGGTGAGGATCGTGCTCATCGTCGGAATCGTGCTCGTCGTTAGATCCATCGTCCATGGGATAGGGATGAAAAATCGTGGCAAGCTCGCCGAACACAGATGCGACACCAGGTGGTGAAGCCGTGTCGATGGGGTCCCTCGAGATGCTAGCAACCTGCTCTGCTATCTCCTCCTCTATCATCTCCACCCGCGTGCCTACGGTCACTGACTCCAACTCAATC